TGAGCCTCGCCGAGTTTCGCTGCAGCACCATGCGACCGCGGCACCAGCGCCTCCAGCTCCGCGTCCCGCTCGGAGGCGAGCGGCTCGGAGTCGCCGAAGGCCTGAGGAGGCGCCGCCGAGCATAGCGCGGCAGCCCACTCTCGGCAGAGGGCGGGCGAGTAGGCTCCAGCCTTGAGCCCACCCTGCAGAGGCTCATGACGGTGTGACCCATCACATCTTCTCCCCAGGATGTCCAGACAGATGGCGTTGGTGAAGATGGTGGTCGGTTTGCGAACATTTTCTCCGAATCCACAAAGATCGAACGAGACGTATCGGGCGTCTGGCAGACTGGCAAGGACAGCAAGGGGCTCGAAGCGAAACAACTTCGAGCTGGCAGGATTCTCCAGCGACCACAGTACGCCACAGCGGTCACACTCTTTGATGACCTCAGCTGTGAAGAGCGCCATGTCGACAGAAACTGCCTCCAACCGCCGCGCCCGCTCGATGTTATAAGGCGTGGAGCGGGCGACTGACCAGGCGGAGCACGCTGTCCCCAGATGTACGAACCAGAGCTTCCCACTCCGAATCCAACGCAGCACAGCTCGCTGCGTCGTTCGACGTGACAAATCATATCGGGCGGAGCGCCTGATCTCGGCGCCTGGCAGGACTCGCAGCCCCAAGCGCCTGAGAGAGGCGGTGAGTCGGCCTGAGCCTGAGAAGAGCTCGAGCGAGGCCTGGACCGCCTGGGGCGCGCCATGATGTCGAGGCGCGCCCAGGCGGCGGCCTCCCATCCGCTGAGAGGCCGCGGGCGCCCCGCCCTCAAGTCTCGTGGGTACCAGTACTCGCGGTACTCGGGGACGACGGGAGCCCTCGTCCGCGTGGTTCCTGTCCGTGCGGATGTGGCGAACCCGCCATGCCACACAGCCGGCAATCTGGTAGGCCGCGGCTCGGCGGCACAGCACATTGAGCGCCCAGCTCGACGAGCGGCCGCGGTCGAACACCACGGCGGACACGAGGTTGTCCGACAGGGTGAGCAGCCGGCGGTGGCAGCCCCGTCTGGTCCGCAAGCTACGTCGGAGACCCATGAGACAGACCCTGGCCTCCTTGACGTTGATGTGTTCCTGCTTCCAGTGCCAGAAGCCCTCCACAAGCGTACGCCAGCGCCGCCTATTGTCCCAGCAGGCGCCGACCACGGGGATGGCCTCGAAGCCTTCCACCTCCTCACGCGGCGCGGCCCCTCGGGCCGAGCGCCGCCGTCTGCGTCGCTTGGGATCGGCCCCGACCTCGGCAGTGTGGGCAGCCTCGACGGCCCACTGCGCCAGGCGGGTCCGGGCCCCCAGCGGCTCCCAGGCGGTCCTCCCCACGACGTGGGGCTCACCGAACGCCTCCAGCTGCTCGGGATCGTCGCCGTCGAAACAGACCCCGAAAGCCGCACCCAACGCCCCCAAGGTCGGGCGCGGCGGCGGAGGCGGCGGCGGCGCGGCCTTGAACCTCCAGCGCTCTCTCCACTTGAAGTCCTCCAGCAGCTCGTCGCCTGTGCCCTTCGTCTCCATGAGAGCGTAGCCGTAGCCCGACGAGTCGCCGAGGTAGACCGACGAGTTGAACGGCGCGTCCAGCTCCACCTCGCAGGTGAAGACCAGGTTGGACATGAGCCAGAGCTCGCGCCGTACGCCTCGCCACAGGCGGCCTGACCTCTCCTTGTGAGCCGCGACGTAGGCGTAGCTCTGTGACAGGATCGACAGAAGGGGTCGGCAGAGGCCGCACATGTGAATGGCGTGGCCCAGCCAGATCTCGAGCTGCCATTCTGCCACCACACGGCGGCGAAGCAGCGCTGCAGTCGCCAGCTTGAAGCGCCAAAGGCGGGCGGACCGATGCCGCAGGCGGCGGCCTGGCCCGTCAAACTGCAGCCCGAGAGCCTCGAGATAGGGACTGCAGGGGACCTCATCGTGGAGGTCGAGGCCGAAGGCGGCACACTGCGCGCGGAAGTCCTGGTGGGCCTGCTCCGCGTCCGTGGCGCTATGCCCCAGCCCTGTGTGGTTGTCCACGTACACGGCGTGGACGGGCCGACCAGGGACCAGGCGGGGGGCCGGAGCGCGCTCTCGGAGCAAGCTGCCCCACCCGTCGGCAGCCACAGCCGCCGCGCGGGAGGCCACCGCCTCGTTGCAGAAGTAGAGGGCCCACGACCAGCCCATGGGCATGGCCCCCATGCAGAGGTAGAAGGCCTCGTGCTTGGCCAGCTCCACGTCCACGCCCAGCTCGGGGTCGAACACCCTGGTGATGCCAAAACTCCCCTTGCTGAACGACTCGTCGATCCCGAACCAGTCGGCCACCTCGACGATGCTGAACTGGTAGAAGCCGTCGCGCACGTCGGCGCCACTCTGGTGAAAATCCAGGGCTGGGACGCCCCCAGCACCAGGCAGAACACAATGAGACGCCATCTCCGCCGCCACGTCCGCGAACTCGGCCAGGTTGAGCTCCGCGAAGGACTGCGCGGTCCCCAGCTGCGTGGTGGGCGGCGGCTTGTGGCAGGCATTCGGGTAGCGGGCGTCCACGATGAGGCGAATGGCCCCCTCCTTCTTCTTGACAAAAAAAGAGTCCGATGCGGCCCTTGAGACGCCTCCTAGGCACCAGGATGCCCGAAGAGAGGAGACGCTCGAACAGCTCGTGCCGGGCTCGCTTGTTGCGCCGCAGCACGGGGTCCCAGTAGGGCTTGGGCGAGGGCTCGGAGGCGAACTTGGCCTCGATCTCCTCGGCGGACAGCTCGATGCACGTCTTATAGCGTCGGAGCCTCTGAGCTGCATGAGGTGGTAGCAGCGCTCTCGCATCCTTGGGTTCCACCACTCCCTTGGCCACTCGCAGCTTGGCTGGATCATAACTGGCAAGGTGACGTGGCTCTTGACCGTACAGGTCCTTCGTCTTGAAGAGCTCCCGGAGGGCTCTGCTTGGAGAGAGTCCGTCGGGGACCAGGCCTGCACGCCCCACCCGATCCTCGAGACTCGCCAACATCTCCCGCTGGACTGCTGTAGGAGTCGAGCTCGCCAGCGGAGATCGTCGAAAGTGCGAATTGTTAGCTTGAGCGGCCGCCAGTTGGTTGACACCAAGTACTGTATCTCTAACAAGCCTTTGCCGCGTCGTGGAGCGCCACCACCTCTGCTGCACATAGTGAGGGGCCCCACGAGGATACTGCCGAACATCAGGCACAGGAAAAGGAAAGGGTCCTCCGTGCCTCCACTCCCCGCCAGGCCACCAGTCGGCCTTGGTGGCCTGCGGGCCGTCGGGCGCCATTTAACTCGGCAGAGGGGCCTCGGCTCCTTGGCCGCCAGCCCCCCTGCCTTTGCCCTTCGCATCACCGCCCTTTGGCCCCTTCGGGCCGCGCCTACTCTCCCGCTCGTTCCTGGTCTCCTCCTTGTACAACCTCGACTGCTTGAGGATGTTCGCCCTCTCCTTCTGACGATCAGACACCCAGGTGCGGAACCTTGGCGCTCGTGCAGCACCGTCGGTCCCCACAGCGCCGTCAGCGATGACCCCGAGCCCACTGAAGTCGGGATCCCTGGGGGCGCGCGCCACCGCCATCTCCAGCATGACGACCCGCCTCGCGAGGAGCTCGAACGAGGCCAGGTTGCTGATGTCCACCTGGTCGGTGCTGGTGGCCACGCGCAGCATCTCCATGGCATTCTTGTGCTCATAGGCGATGGCGCTGTTCTGGTTGACCCCCGACAGCCTGATCCACTCGGCGTGATAGGAAGTCGGGTTCCCTGCACCTTCTCGGATCGAGGCCGCCAGCTCTTTGCACACTCGCGGCCCCTCGAACCTCCACTCAGGCATGTCGCTCTCGCGCAGCATGCCGACGGCGTCCGTCCACCCGAGGTGACGTGTGCCGTCTGCTGCAATGTGGACGCCCAAGCTCCTGATGTCCTCGGCGCCGACACGACGCTGCTCGGACCATTCTCCCAGTCGGGCACGACCCACCTTCTCGACCCCACGAGCG